CACCGCGCCCCTCCCCCTCCCCGCCGCGAGCCTGGCCGCTCCCGGGCCCTAGCGCCCCACCAACTGCCAGGCGCGCCCCACAGAGTGCTCTCCAACTTTTCCTCCCCCGACGCCAACTCGTCGCGGCGGGACCCGTCGCCCCAGGTCTGCTCCCTCCCTCCCAGTCCCAGTGCCTCTTTGTCCCCTTCCCTCCCTCTCTTCTAACTCTCTCGACGTCTGCGCGAGGTTTGTCTTCTGCTTCGCCCTCTCTTTTTCCCCCTCTTCTCCCTCCCCTCCTTCCTTCCTTAGAATTTTACTCGATTGTTTATTATTTGCTAGGGGGCGGGGGCGGGGGGCGGAGAGGGGCGTCTGGGGCCTGGAGACTGCTTGACGCGGCCAGTCAGCGCGCGGTGTGCCTTGACGAGTCAGCGGCGCAGCGAATGGCTGCGCGGCGCCGAGCTCCCGGGTCACGCGCGTGTGGGCACAATGACATCATCTGTTTGTACGCGTCGAACTAGCTTGATGCAGGGGCGGGGCCGCGCGTCACTTGAGTGACGGGCCCTGCGCAAAGCCTGGAGTCTGGAGTAGGCCGGGGGTGGGGGGGCGGACTCCTGCTTAAGCTCGGTTGGACCTTTTTGTGTGTCGGGTTGCTGCGGAGCTTGCTCCAGACTGCAAAATATCTTTAGTGACTTGAAAGGATGTAAGAAAGACACCACCTCGTTTGTGAACCAAAGTGGATAGACTTCTGGTGTGCGGGTGCCACCCCTTCGAGCACAGATGGCCGATTTGGACGCCGTGCGATAAGCACTCGCGTCGATATTCTAGACCTAAAGGAGTGTCCTTTCTAAAAGTGGCAAACGTGCAACTCGCCGTTCTGCCGTCACCGACACATTAGAATGCAGTTATCCCCTCTCCACGAGTGTTCAAATGTGCTCTGGCGTTAAGGAGTGGGGAATCATCTGCTTTGCTTCCGAGTTGCACTTCTTCCCTCGTTTACCAAAAAATCCTTGAAAAGTGAAACACGATTGCGGCGGCGCGCCAGCCTCTGGGCGCCCGGTCTCATCTCGGGCTCACTCGCGTCCTGCACGCACCAACGCCGCGACCTGTCAGTATTTCCACGCCGAGGTAACCTCTGCCATGGGCAGCAGCATCCTCTCCAGGGTGTTACTGGTGTCCGGTTCTAACGGGAAACCGGACACCCGTGCGGACCCAGAGCTCGGCTGACGCGCGCAGGCCGGGGACCCCGGCTGCTGGCGCCTGCCCGGAGTCTGAGCTGCCACGCGACCGCGCTCCGCGGCGTCCTG